ATAGATAGATAGATAGATAGATAGATAGATAGATAGATAGATAGATAGATAAACAGAACAAAACAAAACAAAAACACCACTAGATTATTGGAGAGAGATAAACTTGTGTCTGGAGGTATGAAAAAAGACTTTAAGAAGAAGGTGACATTTGACCTGAGTTTTGGAAAAAGCAAACAAGGGATTTTAAGAGATGGAAGACAGCCAGGACAGAGGCATAGAAACAAGACCTAAAGTGTTGCATGTAAAGAGCAGCGATAAAGCCTGTCTTTCTGAACTGAAGACTGCAGCAAAGGGAGTAATGTGTAACAACAGCTATGTCTGGGCTCAGGAGAGAGAGTTCCCTCTCCACTAAAGGGCTCCACTCCTCTGAGCCCTGGACCTATGTATGCACACGGACTGTGCTTACACCTCGGGAAACCGGACCTCCACAGGAAGAAGTTTTGACTCTTTTATTCTCTTGTGTCTTTGACTCTTTATGCCCCTGAGGAAAATTACTTAAAGCTCAGAGTTTGGTTCATGAAAATAACGATGATAATAATAATAACCAATACTGATAGAATGCTTTAAGTTTTGGAAAGCACTATCTGTATGTTATCTCATTTGATCCTCAACAGCCTTGTGAGGCAGGTGAATTATTGTCCCCATTTTTCAGCTAAGGAAACTGAAGCTGAGTGAGGTTGAGTGACTTTTTAAGGTCACAGCAAGAGGATGTTCAAGGCAGGATTTGAGTTCAGGTCTTCGTCACTCTGAGTCTAACTCAAAGACACTTAATGTATCTAAAGTTTTACCAAACTGTAGTAGGTATTCAGTGTATAATGGAGTTCAGGTATTCCATTGCCTCTACCCTAAGAAATGATTAAAACATACAAGATCCACAAATGTGCATTGACCTAAAAACAAAAATGAGAATAAGTAGCTTAAAATTGCTATTCTATTCTCCTGGGAGTTTGATACTTAAAACATTAATAAATCAACAAGCATTCAGTGATTACTATATTTTTGAAATTTGCTATGTGCTGGGAATGCAAACAAAGGCAAAACCACCGTCCCTTACTTGAAGGAACTCACATTCTTTTGGATGTTAGATGCAGTCTCAGGATTGCTTAAGAGGCATTTTATATTTCATCTGGGCTCTACACTATCCCCATAATTTCCTCCATGTCTTCTGGCAAGCCAAGCCAGGGAGTGCACTTATTTTCTGGCTAGTGGTTATCTTCCCTAAGACATGGGAGGTCAATAAATGAAATAAATGAATGGGAGGTCAATAAATGAAAAAGTATAGGTAGAGAAGAGGGCCCAGGATAGAACTTTGGTGCATACCCACAATTAAGGGATATACTATGGATGATAAAGCAACAAAGGAGACTGAGAAGGAGAAATCAGATAGCTAGGAGGAGAAATAGGAGAAAATTATGGCACAATAATGCAGGAAGAAGAGGGTATCCAGAAACAGAGGACAGTGAACAGTGTCAAATGCTGCAGAAAGGTGAAGAAAAAAGAGAGGGACATTGCTATTAGATTTGGCAGAAAAAACGTGTAACTTTGGAGAGCACAGGTTCAGTTGAATAATGAAGTGAGAAGCTACAATACAAATGGGTTGATAAGTGAATGAGAAGATAGGTGGAAGCAATAAGTGTGGGGATATATCTCCTGAGTATCTTTTAAGGATGTAAGAGTTTCAGGTGGGTTTGTAGGTAAAAAGCCAACGGAAAGGAAGAGATTGAAGAGTAGAAAGAGAGGAAATAATTAAGGCAGAAATCTTTTGAAAAACTGGGAGGGGGAAAATGATGCAGGGAGGCCAACCAAAAGACTATTGAAATAGTGCAGGCATAAGATGATGATGGCCTACACTGTGGTGGTCGCAGTGTCCAAGGAGAGAAAGGATGTAAAGGTAGGAACAACAGGACTTGACAACTGTTTGGATATAGAAGGTGAGATAGAATGAAAAGTCAAGGTTCACACCTAGGTTACAAACCTGGGTAGATGGAAGGAAGGTGGTACCCGTAAGAGTAATAGGAAAATTAGGAAAAGGAAAGGTTTTTGTTTTTAATTTCTTAAGATGGGAGGAAGGGGAGATTCATGTTTACTTTTGGACATGGTGAGTTCAAGATTTCCAATAGGCAACTAGAAATGTGAGACTGGAGATTGGAAGAGAAGTTGTCATTGCTGTTCAGTCGTTCAGTCATGTCTGTCTGTACATGACCACATAGACTTTGTCCATGAGATTTCTTTAGCAAAGTTGCTGGAGTGCTTTGCTATTTCCTTCTCCAGTGTGTCCCTAGCATATGGGTGAGGAACTGAGGCAAATAGGGCCTAAGTGAGTTGCCTAGGGTCACATAGCTAGTAAGTATCTGAGGCTGGATTTGAACTCAGATCTTCCTGACTCCAGGCCCGGTGCCACCTAGCTGCCCCAAGAAAGAAATTAGGGCTGGACAGATAGATGTGAGAATTGCTTGCATAGAGGTAAAAATTGAATCCATAGGAGTTTATGAGGTCGCTAATAAAAAATAATGTAGAGGAAGAAGAGAAGAGGTCCCAGAATAGAATCTTGGGGGACACCCATAGTTAGTGGATATGATGTGGGTGAAGAACCAGTAGAATTTATTAACAAGGAGAGTTTAGATAGCTAAGAGGAGAACCAGGAAAGAAGTGTGATATGAAAACCTAGAGAGAAGAGAGTAATCAGTAGCTGCAGAGAAGTAGAGAAGGGTGAAAATGCAGAGAAAAGTTTCAGTTGAATGATGAGGTTAGAAGCTATATTTTCATGTGGAAAGATCAACCATCTATATGAAAGTGATGGAATGAATTAGAAAACAAAATCTAGCAATTTTATGTATATAATAAACACAACTAAAATCAATACAAAATAAAAGTGAAAGATTAAAACAACTTATGATACATCAGGTGATTCCAGTTAATCAGGAGTTTAAAAAAATAAAAATTCATACTGTCAAAAAAGATAACAAGAAAACCACATTAAGCTTAAAGTTTCCATAGAAAAAAATATGATCTCAATACTAAATGCATATGTGCCAAACAACATAACATCTAAATTCATAAAGGAAGTTAATGAATCACACTTAAAAAAGACCTATTTGGCAACTCAATAATTATAGGAAATGATGTTCTTACAGAGATAGATAAATCTAACAGAGATATAAAAGGAGAAATGTAGAACTCAATATACTATTAGAGACACTAAATATGAAAGATGTCAGCTTCTGAATTTGAACATTAAAAAATATTCATTTTTCTTGGCACTATAGTATATTGCACCTTTAAAAATTCTCTATGCAGAGATAATAATAAAATATAGAAATTAATTTTTGAAACTGAAATAACAAATACATCTAAGCAAAAGATACAGATATAAATGAAGAATTAATGATGATGGCTAGAATCCTGAATTGGATAATAGAAACAATATAACTATGTGAAAAAGAATAAGGATTAGACAACCTGCCAAATTTTTTGGAATGCAATTAATGAAGTCCTTAGAGGAAAAATTATATTTTTGGAAAACATAGTTAATAAAATAGAGAAAAATTGTATTAATTATAAAAGTTGAATTTTTTTTTTTACAAAAATACCACCTAGCACCTAGACCTTACCACTTAGAAGAAATAGGCCCATGGGCAGCTAGGTGGCACAGTGGATAGAACTCTGGCTGTAGAGTCAGGAGGACATGAGTTCAAATCCAGTCTCAGACACATGACACTTACTAGCTATGTGACCCTGGGCAAGTCACTTAACTTTGATTGCCTCACCAAAAAGAAAAAAAAAGAAATAGGCCCAGTGCCCTTTTCCATGCTTTCTACCTAAACTCCACTCACCCAGCCTAGAATAGCAGCTAGACAACAAAGACCAAGCTGCCTTAGCCGTACAGAGTGGAAGGATTATTTTTCATCTGTCACCTACTACTATTCTTATGGCT